TTGACAGAAGGTCTTATACATGGAGAGTTGACAGGAGGGCTGACACGTGGAGGAGAGCTGACAGACGGGCTGACACGTCGATGGTGATGATACGACTATATTGTGTATGTATGTATTTGTGTATATGCTTTTGAGTGAGGGTCATTTTTCCTTCACTTAAAAGGCTTCGTCAGCAGGTCGGGGCAGTACTATGTGTGTGTGTCACTTGGTGTTGACTGTGTAGTATTGCTGTTATTAGTAGTAGTGGTAGTAGTAGTAGTAATAGTTCACGTGTGTGTTGCAGTGGTTCACTACCTCGCGTGTCACATCAGTAGTCATGAAATGGTTGATGGCGTGTGTGTGTGGGTCACTACAGAGGTGACGTACATACTGCTGCAGTACTCACTCAAAAGCCACTGCCAATTACCCCCTTACCTGTGAACACCACCACCTACCACTACCACCTTGACCTTACACCACCACCTACCACTACCACCTTGACCTTACACCACCACCTTACACCAGTACATCCCTAACCTTCCACCACCATGTGTTGAATGATATGCATTAATTACATTACCGTGTGCGTCTTATACTTATCTTTAGCACTGCTTCTTGTCTCATGTTTATTGTTATTATTATTATCATTATTACAGTAAGTGTTGATAGGTTAGTTAGTGTAGGTGTTGGTGACCATTACTGAGGGCGGCTGGCTTGAACACCGTCCGTCGATACTTAAAGTTGATGATCTAAAGTGAAGAGTGCCACCCTTACTGATGCCCACAGTGCCACCCATACTGATGCCCACAGTGCCACCCTTACTGATGCCCACAGTGCCACCCTTACTGATGCCCACAGTGCCACCCTCAGCAAGTGCACCACCACCACTACTACCACCACTTTACGCTGCTATGCATCTCGTGGTGGTAATGATGATAGGAGCGATAGTGGTGGCGGTAGTAGTAATGGTTGTGGTGGTAGTAGTAATGGTTGTGGTGGTAGTAGTAATGGTTGTGGTGGTAGTAATAGTGATAAAGGAGGAGGAGGGAGGCAGAGCGATGCGATGTGGTGCGGTAGGGTCCGGTGCGGCACGATCCGGTTCAATGTGGTGCGATGCGGTTCATTGTTGTGCGGTAGGGTCCGGTGCTGTCCGATGTGCTGCGGTAGGGTCCGGTGCTGTCCGATACGATGCGGTTCCGTGTGGTGCGGTACGGTCCGGTGCTGTTCGATGTGCTGCGGTAGGGTCCGGTGCTGTCCGATGCGATGTGGTTGGGTCGGTGCTGTCCGATGCGATGTGGTTGGGTCCGGTGCTGTTCGATGTGCTGCGGTAGGGTCCGGTGCCGTCCGATACGATGCGGTTCCGTGGTGCGGTACGGTCGGTGCTGTTCGATGTGCTGCGGTAGGGTCCGGTGCTGTCCGATGCGATGTGGTTGGGTCCGGTGCTGTCCGATGCGATGTGGTTGGGTCGGTGCTGTTCGATGTGCTGCGGTAGGGTCGGTGCTGTCCGATGCGATGTGGTTGGGTCCGGTGCTGTCCGATGTGCTGCGGTAGGGTCCGGTGCCGTCCGATACGATGCGGTTCCGTGTGGTGCGGTACGGTCGGTGCTGTTCGATGCGGTCCATTGCGATGCGGTCCGATGTGGTGCGGTCGGGTCCGGTGCTGTGCAGAATGGCGTAACACCAGTACCAGCGGCAGATAATTGCACGTTGCATGTATAATGTTGCAACACGACCATTCATACCTCAGTACCTGAGGCCCTACCAACTGGCCCCTCACCTACCTCCTCACCCTACCCCCCTCACCTACCTCCCTCACCTACCCCCTCACCTACCCCCCTACCTACCCCTCACCCTACCTCCTACCTACCCCTCACCTACCCTTACTACCCCCTCACCTACCTCCCTTACCTAGCTCCCTCACCCCCCCCTCACAGCTCCCTCACCTACCCCTCACCTACCCCTTACCTAGCTCCCTCACCTACCCCCTCACCTACCCCCCCTTACCTAGCTCCCTCACCTACCCCCCTACCTAGCTCCCTCACCTACCCCCCCACCTACCCCCTTACTAGCTCCCTACCCCCCCCTCACCTACCCCCTTACCTAGCTCCTCACCTACCCCCTCACCTACCCTTACCTAGCTCCCTCACCTACCCCCTCACCTAGCTCCCTCACCTACCCCCCCTCACCTACCCCCTTACCTAGCTCCCTCACCTACCCCCCACCCACCTACCTCCTCACCAGCTCCCTCACCTACCCCCTCACCTTATAAAGATCGTCTTAGTATCACCTGAAGAGTAGACAGCCTTGTTTATTTCACCTGAAGATTATTACCGTACAGTACCTGAGGAAGGGCCCACACACACACACACACACACCTGAGGAAGGGCCCACACACACACCCACCTGAGGGAGGGCCACACACACACACCCACCTGAGGAGAGGGCCCACACACACACCACCTGAGGAGGGGCCCACACACACACACCACCCTGAGGAGAGGGGCCCACACACACACCCACCT